GCCTATAGGATGATTTAAAAAAACAATAAATAATTTTAAACGGACATCTTCCAACCTGTTCCGCTGCAAGAAATAAGTTTTGAGCTTTTTTCGCTCACCTCTCCTCAGCAGCGGGCTGCCATGCGCCCCCCCCCCCCCCCCCCCACCCCCCGGGGGCGGGTGCGAGTTGTATGGATTTTTAGCCAAATTTACGGATTTTCGAGGCTTTTTCATACATGCCAACCTCTTTGGACGTGTACCTGTATGAAGAGCCCTAAAAATCCATAAATTTAGCAAAAATCCCTACAACTCGCACCCACGGGGGGAGGGGGTGTATGTGTGTGTGTGTGTGTGTGTGTGTGTACATGTATTGGGAAATGTAAGGTGATATGCTAAGTAATATGTTATGTCATATGTTATGTAAGGTAATATGTGATAAGTTATGTGTATATCATACATAGGCAGAAATACATAATTTTGGCACTAATGGAACTCCATATTAATGTATGTATTTACTGCCTGCTTTTGATGTTTATTGCACCAGGATCTGAGAGTAACATAATTTCAGTCCTGTGAATGTCCTGCACATTATGCAGATTTGACAATAAATCAACTTTGACTTTGACTTGACTGGGGGAGGCACTGCACCTTGTCCTGGCAGCATAGAGGCACATTCCCACACCGTCCGTCGAAAACTGTTGTGGTCGCTTTGTGACAGTTTTACAGAACATAATTTCTCTTCAATTCACTACAGAAAAACCAGATCTTCCTCCTTCAACTCCTCCATCATCAACTGAACATCCACTATGTTGCTGTTAGCATGAGACATGCTGCAGAAAGACAACAATGGGAGGACTTTATCCGGCCTTCTTCCCTGGAGTTTCTCTTTAACATGAGAAATAGACCCTAAACATTCACATTGGCAAAATCCGACATCTGACATCTTGTTGAAGTAAGGGATCCCCGATTAGTTGCAACATTAGACTTTATTTGATAAACATTCATTTTAACTGTAAGATAAAGACTGTAAAAATACTGTAGGCTGTTTAGTTTTATAAATTTTTAAAAATATATTTTAACACGGACGGAGCCGTTTTATTTACACGCAAAACATTCTGGGTAAATGATGACGTGGATAGGTTCTCGGTGTGAGCGAGCTATATCCACCCTGAAGGTTAATCTTGGACAATATCTGATGATCGACTCTTTTAAATGAAACCAGAGAGCATTGACAGAGGAGAAGGTAGAAATGACCATCTATTTAAAAAAAAGAAGAAAAAAAAAAAGAAATGACTCAGCCTGGAACTGAAAATATAGATGGAGGACAACAGAGATTCTTTAAGGAAGAGGAATCCCAGCTTAGCCTGTTAGCTTTAGCATTAGCCCCGATGCTATCACCATTTGTATGTATTAGCTCAGCGCTACAC